AAAAGGAGAGAGCCAATTACTGTAGAACTCAATTAAACAACTGAATCTATAAACAAATACCTCCTTGTATTTCCAAATCCTTTGATTTCTCTGAGGCATCCCTTTGACCATGATGTTTAACATAATTCAACTCTTTTACATCTACCTACAAAAGCAGAGTAAATGAATATATGGAGAAGCAAATTAAGTCGATTGGGCTTATCTTATTACCTAAATGCATAAGCCTAATAATACGGAAGCCTTATTCATCATGCCATTACAAATAAATCTCACTTCATTCTTAAATCTTTTCAAGAAACAAACAACTGAAGCCCTAAATTATCCCATGTTCAGAGAATGAACAAACACAATTACATCAAGAACGCGTAACTATAACTAAAGATTGGCCTATAGCCTGCATTAAGTTTATGATCTTCGTCTTAACTGTTTAACAGATATTATTTAACCCTGACCAACACTAAAACATATAATCAACAAAACAACACAAACAGCAATTCAAACAATTCTGATAGAGAATGGCAGAATCCTGAAAAACCTGATAATATATCCCAAGCTTCCCATCCTCAACAGGCTTTGTGTAGGTCTGTAAATGCCCAGAGACATATATAAAATCATTCTGCTTCAGATGCTGAATACACATTTCTGCCATCTCTTCCCTCATGACCAGGTTTATGCTGTATGTAAACGAAATTTGCAACAATCAATTCCAAAATTTCCGAGGAAGAAAATCAACAGGTAAAAACAATACGGGTAAGAAGTACTCCTGACCTAAGCGTACTATTGGATTCACGAGGGTTTTTCACGTTCAAGAGCGTTTTAACCGCGAGTCTACCGTTGTTGGTCCGATGAACGCTGAGAGGCCACACAACCGTTCCAATGAAGCTAACGGAGTTATCCGGCCGAGACCACCGCTTGATCGTGGTGGGGCGCTGGGTCTTGAGCTTGGTTTGGTAAACAGCGCTGCCTTCTTCGGTGCCATCGAACAAGGAATTCGAGAATCTAGGGTTCGGAACTGCATATGAAGAGAAAGAGGCACCTTTTTGGAGGGAATACCTCGCCAAGCTTCTAATTAGGGCTCCGATACGAGCCAGGCTCATGAATTCGAAATCTATTGACGATATCGGAACTTAAATGACCTCGACGACGGGATATTGATGGCTGTGAAGCCGCCGCGCAGGATGGAATATTCCGGCCGGATTTGAAGCTTGGAGGAGTTTGGCGGGGTTCCTTTGACGAGGGGCTAAATCGCGGGAGGGTGATGGTATTGTGGGCCTCTTAAACTAAACCTCCAGGTTAGCCCACAAAATTACTGGGCTGTTCAATATTCGAAAATTTCTTTCTCTTGGACGAATATGTCAATCTGAGCTTTGGGCCTAGTGTCTGTATCGGGATCCAAAATTCTAAATCCATAAAATGACTGAATTTCCAAAACAATCCTTATTATTAATTTTTTTTTGGCTAAAAGTAATTCACTCCAACGAGGCTTTTTTCTTTTCTTTTCTTTTCTTTTTTTCTTTCTTTCTGAATGGATTATAATTCCAGGGGAGAAGGGATTCGAAGTCCAAGTTTAGGGTTGGATGCACCTTACGATAAGTTATATAACAATTGCTTATAAAACTTAACTACTACTTCAACCAGACATTTTGATTTTTACGTACACCCGGCAATGTAATAACCAATCATTGGTAATAGTTCCATACTAAAAAATCAATCAAATTACTCTTACAATGTTTGAAGAAAAAAAAGTCATTGTCAATAAAGCTTCAAAGTATTATATTGTGTACATTTATATACCAAATTTGTACTATATCAAATAAAAAAAGGAAAAACATAACATCAAAAAAGAGAAAAAGAAAATTTGATTAGGTTTTTTAAAGCTAATTAAATATATTAAAAATTAAAAACTATTTTACAAAATAAACTGTATGTAATTTATCTTATAAAATTAATTAAATATTTTTTAAAAAATAATATAAAAATAAATTTAAAAATATTTAAGTAATTTTATAATACACACTAGGCCATCATCTAAAACAATTTTCTCGAAGTGTCCAAATCATAAAAGCAAATACCGGTAGGAAGTGGTCACAATACACGCGCATACCAATGGTGAAATATTCCTCACCTGCTCTTGTCAATTGACATGATTTGCATATATTTCTCATCTGAAATACATCTGTATTTAATAAAGTGCCTTTGAGTTTGTGTGGTTAGGAACGTACATAAAGATAATTAAGTAACATAAATATATATTTTAAATGATTAATTATGATATTTAAAAATTTTAGTCATTAATTGATTTTAATTTATTAATTAATAAATATTAATTATTTTTAATTATTAATTAATAACTAAATTAACCAAGTTTAATATTTTAAAAATAAATATTAAAAAGTCCATATCACCCTGTGTATGAATAATAATCCTTTGCCCCACTGTTTTTTATATGGTTGTAGTGGTGGTCACACTTTTAATTAAATAAAAAGTAAATGTAGACATCTGGATCATCAGGTCAATTTCTAGACTCAAAATTTCTCTCATCCTTCAAACAGATACTAATATTATTAATATAATTTCGATGGTAAACCAAAAAAAAAAAAACCATCCCCTACCCGCATTGACGCATAAAAACGAAAAATCAAAAAGAAAAAAATGTTATTCTTGTCGCCATTAATCATTATAATATTTTACAACTATTTTTAGGCTCACCTCCTTAAATACATGAGAAGGACACACCTAATGACCGAGTCTATATTAAAGATGGCAAAAATATGATATAAGGACCTGAACTTACACAAATTTTGCAGTTTTGGACCCAAGTTTTAATTACAATCAAATAAGATATCAAATTATATGAAATTCTCAAATAAGAATCTAATTGGATGAAATATTTTTTTATTGGATGGAATATTCTCTTATCATCAAATGTCTTGATAACCATTAACCATCCATAACTCTCTCAACCAATTGGATTGTCACATGAGAAAATATGCTGACTTGTCATTGTTACGTAGATGCCATATGGATGCCATTGGCAGGTCTCAATTGCTTTTAAGGAGAATCCTACTAAAGAAAATCCATGTGACATCCATGTGGTAATGACAAGTTAACATGTTTCTTTATGTGATAATTCAGTTGGCTAAGAGAGTTATAGATGCTTAATGAGTATCCAAGATAGTTGATTATGAGAGAATATTTCATTTAATTAAGATTTTATTTAAGAATTTTATGTAATTTAAGATTTTAATTAAGTACAATTGAAATTTGAATCCGAAATCAAGAATTTTATATAAGTTGGAGACCTTTTTCCATACTTTTGCCATTAAAGATTAAATATTAATACAGAATAATGAAACCTTATCGCTTTCACCAACTAACTTCTATAAAATTGTGCAGACCAAACTGATATCGTCTCAATTTCATTCCCTCACCAAGTCACCACAGTTGATCCCGCGTCAGAATTTTTAGTTTCCTCTCATAAGCTGATGATTCCGTAGATTGTTTATTATTTCTTTTAATTATTATTAGTAATATTTAACAATTCAAAAATCTCACTTTTTTTTAAAATCTGAGTGGAAGGAAATAGAGAAATAGAAAGAGAAAGGTTTTTTTTTTA